TATATATGTTAAAAAACGTCCATTTTCTGCTTTAGGTTTTTTTGTCATTGTCTATATTATTGCTGGACACTATATTTTCACCGTTTTCTCAGCCAATGATATTCCGATTTCTGTAATTGTTCTTTACCCCATCCCTTCTCTCATCCAGTATATTCCACTGTCCCAGAAACCCAGAAACCCACCGCCTTCATCTTTTCTAGCTCTGTTTTTATTTTTATTTTTAATCGTCACCGGTTGAGATCGATATCTTCTCGATTCTTCTAATTTCTTCTTCTTCATTCTTTTCTCGCTCTTCTCTAAAGCGATCGTCAACCACATCGGTGGGGACGACGCTGACGATCGTCCTACCCCCACACTTATTCATTCGTGTTATCTTTCTATCTTCTTCCAGCTTTTTCATTCCACCACCATCATCTAGCTATTGAATCGTCTCTCTACCGCCACCATCAGAATCTAGAACCGCTGAGCTCACCAGCTTCAACGCCGATGATCGCTGTGATTATTGGGGTCAGGGGTAGACGCAAGCTACAAGGTATGGAGGACATGTTTTACTACTATATGGCCTTCCAGTACTGGGATTCCCTACTCAGCTCATATTCGTCTCATTTTTCTACACCTCCACCTCCGCTTCCTCCTCTATCGATTCTTCACCTGACAGCTTGGCGATGATGTCGTAAGGTCGTATAATCCATCTTTGTGAATATGGGTAATAAATAATTTTAACTTGATTATTTTTTCTAAAAATAAAAGTCCTGGGATATAAATATTGATTGTTTGAAACTTTGAATCTTTTTGCAGGTGAAGTGCTGAGAGGATTTGGGGTCTCAACATTTTTCATGTATCAAAATTCCAGACCCTTGAAAAAATTTATGTAACCTTTTTGTTGTGTATATACCCTTTTTGTTTACATTCGACTCTTGTGATTCAAAAGGATCCGAGTTTGGTTTACGTTTGGATCCCCTTAAAGATAAAGAAGACATTTTTTGGCAATTCTAATAAATCAACAAAGTTGTTTGTTTTCGTAATTTTTTCTTAAAAATATCTTTGAATAATTCTATGTAGCCAGCCTACATGTACTGTTTTATTATTTTTATTTTTGAAGTTTCTTATGGAGAATTTGAATGAATATATGATGGTCTTAAAGGGGCGAAAAACAGGGGTTGATTTTTTGAACTTCATTCAATTTCCTTTGTTTTCAATATGCACGGTAGAAGAAAGACGACGTAGGGGCTCAGAAGTAACACTGATAAATGCTTTGTGCAAGAATCGGTTGTCGTATGTTGTTGTTATCGTCTGCAATTTTAGGTATTTTTTTTTAAGTTCAGTTGTCCATCGCCTCCATTTAGTTTCTAAATCTGCAATTCAAATGGTTTCTCTGCTTTTCTTTCTATTTGATACAGTCAACATAGTGTTATCAGTTCAAATAACAGATCCTTTACAAACAAGTAACAAGAAACATGATGTTTGCTTATCTAATTTGTCATATGCCCTTGGAATACGTTCTTGAGACTTGAACCTTTATGACATTTATTATACTTTTCAGATTCATCGGATATTGTTCCTATTTTTGCTTACAAAAGGTAATCTATTATCTGTTATTCTGTTATTAGTTACTTCTTTAATTTCCGCCTTCTTGCTCACAAAAGGTAATCTATTATTTGTTACTTCTTTAATTTCCGCCTTCACGCAAAAAATTTGTCAGCTGTTACATGCATGTTTCTTCCTATTTTACCGTTACCCCTGATGAGCACCACTTTTCTTAGACCAAAAGGGTAATACTAGGTCTGATTCCATTTTTTCATGATTACACACGCATGCATCAATTTGTGTAAGTAAATCCATGAGATGGTAGGAAGATACGCTTAAACCCAACATGATTGAGATTAATTTAACCCAAGAATTAATGGATACACTATCAAATGCAGGGGATAGATTGGTCATTGTGGAGTTTTATTCACATGGTTGTGGTTTTCCAATTTTGGGGCTTTGCAATTATAACTTTAATGCTTTTGAGTTTTTTTTTTTTTTTTTGGTATCTTCATAGATTATAGATTGGGTTGTGTGTTTTCATTGATTTGGGCTGAAATGGGAATCAAGAACCATGGTCAAATATGAAGAGTAATTCTTTTGCTTTTTTTCTAGGGAAATGAAGGTTGAAGAACAAAAGTACAACTACATGCCTATAAGGTACTAATTTTTTTTCATATATGGCGTTGATAAAACTGGTAAGTAGTTCTTAATGCATAAAGTTTCATGACTTGTATAGATAATAAGAACAAATTGGGTTTCAATTGATTTAGGCTGAAAGGAGAATCAAGAACCATGGTCAAAGATGAAGAGTAATTCTTTTGTTTTTTTAAGGAAATGAAGGTTAAAGAACAAAAGTACAACTACATGCCCATAAGGTACTACTTTTTTATTTTCATATATGACATTGATAAAGTTTATATTAAGGACAAGGATTGCAAACAAAAAATATGTAAGTATGGTAATAAAAGTATATTCATTTAAAACCACACTTTAATATAACCAAGGTATATGTTTTTGATCAGAGGTTGAATCGATCATCAGAAGAAGAATTAGGCCAAAAATTAGGATACATTTTGGGAAAATCAAACATCCATCGAAGAGAAGCAAGTGAAAGGCTTACATAAATAGGATCAAACCTAACATATACTTATTCTTATACATATATGCATATGCATATAAAAATACATATGCTAAAAATAGGGTTTGAGTTTGTGTTATATGCATATATCCATATGCATATAATTAAAAAGGATCGATTATTACTCATGCTGCTTAAGGGGTATTTTCGATAATTTTTGATAATAATAGGTTGCTATGGTCTGATGGGAAGTTGCTGGTTAAATTGTGATTATTTTGATCTGGGTGATTTCAAAATTTGGTTTTTTTTAGTATTTTGGCCAGAAAAATTGATTTATGTGTTCTTGATTAAAGGGTATTTGGGAATTCTGTTTTTATCTTTTCTATTGGTTTTACTTGGTGCTGTTGGGATTTAGTTTGATGTTGCATATGCACTGAATGTTAGATTGAATTCAAGATTGGTATCTCTGTCAACCAAAATCGTTATTAAAGAGACCAGGGGCATTTCGGTCAGTTTTGGGATTTTACTATTAAAATTGAGTTTTTGGTTAATTTTATAATCGTTTTTTCTGGTCCAGTCTTGGTTCATTTGGAAGTACTCGAAGATCTGAATTGAGAATATGATAGATGAATTTTTATTGAATCCTAAGACTAAGAAATATATTTTCAAAAACATAAAGAGATAATTTCTCAATTTATACTTTGGCTTGAAATATTGGTATTTATATATAGGTTAGTTTTGTATTGGGAGTTCTAGATTTTATTTGACGTGTTTGAAGATATATTTTGAGATCATTTGTATGTGAGCTATACTTTTATGTCTCAACTGAATACTTACTATTATCTTAATGATTTGTAAACCTAAAAACGTTTCGCTTCTTTTTAGTTAATCAGGTACCGAGTATGAGTGGGAGCTAGTACATAGTGATGTACAACGTGCTTGAAATGGTTTAGTCATGGAAAGCAATCTGCCAAAGAGAAACTTTACATCTGGTATCAACTTTAATCTTATGTATTATTTTTTTATCTCCCTAAGTTCTTTTTGCTGATTTTTTGGAAATGAATAGATTGATGACTTTTCTTCAACAGAGCGGAAACTCAAGCTTCTAAATTTTTTCCAGAAGCAAGACAAACGCAATTTTTAGCCATGAAGTTATAGGAGGTGAAACACCTCTATTTGATGACATAGTTATTCAGGGTATTATGTAATCTAAATGGACTTGATCTGTTATACAGATTCATAGCAGGATTGATATCAGATGAAAAGGAGCTATTCTGCTTGGCATAATCGTAGGTATGTCTGAAAAAATTGTATATGTATGTATCTGTCTATATCTACTGCACTTCAATTTTGTTAATGGACATAATGGTATTTTCATCCATAGTGTACTTTTAACTCATCTTCTGGAGAGAAAGTTGATGGGTATTTTCCGAAAGAGATATTTTTAACAAAAGAGTACGAGCTTGTAAGACATGCTGTCTTTACCGGTTTTTTATTCAATTTAGTAATTTTGGCTTTTTAGTTTTCATGGTATAATGTTAAAAAATTGGATACTTTAGTCATTTTTAGTTAATATAGCCTATTTGTGTGCATAAGTTTTATGTAATCACAACAGGAACTCATAAGTTAACTTTATGATTCTAGACAGATAGTTTGAATCCTTAATTTTTTATTTAATTTATTATGTAGATAATAATAAACTACTAAACACTTTAAATTTCAAATTTGATTATGACCATTACAATGTCCATGTGCTAAACATATGAGAAACGGTGGTTATAGTAGTTCCTTAAAACAAATTTCACACCCAATATGGTGAAATTAAAGAAAAAACTGATTGATTTAGATTATGAACTAAGCATGGATGAATTATATTAGAGTTTTGTGTAATTGGGTGCTTAATTGTTTACATATAGTAAAAAGCAGAGTGAAGATGGTAGAGTGGTGACAAGATAAGGAGCATAGAGAATAATCTGCTTATTAGTTTAAGGGTCGAATTTCATTAAGGTTAGTTCTGGCTTTTCTATTATTTTTTTTCTTTTATTGATTGTAAACTTTTTATAATATTTTCTTTTTATTTCTATTCATTTATTCCTGATTTAAAATGATAAGTTTACACCGTGGAGTGTATATGTATAAATGATAAAGAAAATATTTTCTGATTTGAATTTGCTGTTATATTGGAAATTTATGTTGTTTGTCACTATTGTTTACAACAACAATGCATTCACTTACTTGATCAGAGCGTTTACATGAAGGGGATGACTGAGGCTTTGAACGTTGACATTATGTACAGGTGAATCAATTTAATAAAAATAATGAAGCTTTTGTAACCTTGTGGTGTATTAGTGTGTGTTTGGTGTCTATTCTCTTATTCCTGAATTAAAATAATAAGATTGCAGATACTATCATTTATCTAAACCGACAAATTAAAAATGTCTTTAGTGGTTGGAATCATGTGTTAGATTAAGTTAACTAATGAACAATTAATCTTTTGTAGGTATATAGACAACTATAACATGAAGTTTTGGAATAGGGCTTCCAACATCCATAAACATCTTCACTTAACCTTCGTTGGGGGTTGCTGAGCTCAAAGTTCTTCACAGGAGTGGTTTAGATAAAGAGAAGAAGCAACAGGTAGGATATATGGGTTGCTAACAATTATGATTTGGAGTTTTTTTATAATATTCCGTTACCTATAAGCATTGTATTTTTAATATTTTGGTTTTGAACTTTATTTCTTTGGTTCATTGTAAATGTTATCTGCTTAGGATTTTATAAAGTTTTTTACTCAATAAATATCACACACTTTAGAACACAATCATATATCCAAACTATTTTTACTGGTAAACAACTTTATATACTTATAAAAGAACGAAAATATATTCACAAAAAACATAAGAACTTTAGAAAAAAAAATAAAAAAAAATTAAGGAACGGATCACTAATATTGGAAAGGCAATACTTGCATTGATAAAAATAGATGAACAAACCTAAACCAAATACAAAGTTACACGGGTTTACAATGTTCATTGAACAAGAAAACAATGTTCCACCATGACGAAACACATAACCAACAACATCTAACCCCCCGTAACTCCCTCAAGAACAACTGATAAACGATGACATCATCTTTGAGACTTTGACGCAATGTCTTCCATCGGTTAACAAATCCAACCCCACAAAACGAGGTTCCTCATCTAGTTTATATAATATTATCTATGAATAGGGGTGTGCAAAAAAAATCGTAAAACCAAAAAACCGAGCCGAACCGGCCGATCAGAAACCGAAAAAACCGAAACCGAAAAAAACCGAAACTTAAAAAAACCGAAACCGAAAAACAACGACGATCCTATCCTAAAGGAGAAGAAGGAGTAGGAGGAGTCAGTTTTCTTTGAAGATCGAGGAATCAATCTCCCAATTATGCCATTCGGAAGAAGGGATATCAACGGGTCGGTTTTGGTTTGGATACTTAAGAGGTACAATACAAATTAACATAATGTACAAACTTTTATTGCAAACAATATTAATATTCATTAGAAACTCTTAACATAAATGTGACAACCCGAAATTTCTATCTTGTAAAGTCAATCAATTCAATCAAAAGTCAGACTTGATTCTGTTATCTTTTAGCCTTGTTAAGGGTCTGTTTGAGAGCTCTAAGCCTAGTATACTCAAGGATTGTTTGTTAGGAAGCGTTAGCTTGAGTTCATTGAGTTGCAATCGAGCCGAAAAAAACCATCAAAAAGGAGTTCACGGTCGTGAACCCATCCTTGGCCGTTAACATCCTCCATATATATATAAGAAATTGGCTCATTTCCATAACTTCTTCAACTCTAGCCATGAACACACCAATTCTCTCTCAACTTTCTTCAACCGTGAACAGTCTAAAGGCTTCCAAAAAGTAAGTATCTCATCCATCTTCTTGTTGTCCATTAGAAACACTTGATTCCCCATGAAACAAACACCACTTTGCATGAATCTTCAAGAGTTCACGGTCGTGAACCCTTCATTGGGCCGTGAACCCTTCTTAGATGCAAGTTTGGCCGTGAACCCTCCTTCCATGGACGTAAACCCTTCATAGGATCAAGGTTGGGCCGTGAATACATCATGTGTTCTATGTCCGTGAACCCTTCTAAGGCCGTGACCACTCCTTGTGTGGTCGTGAACACCCTTCATTTAATCATATTTGATTCTAACACTCCATTGAGAGTGTTTCCTAGTTCCTAAGGGTGTTTCCCTTACATGTTAGTTGTTATATACACTAATTGTATACATATATGTGTCATTATATGCTTAATAGGATACGTTTGTGCTCGAGACTTCACTTGGCATACTTAGCATCCTATATCGATCTTACATTCGAATCACTCACTACAAGTGAGTTCATACCCCTATAACTACACTTTTAAATGCTTTTTAAATGCTTTTAGGGGGGGGGGGAATACAAGTAGAACACAATGAAATTGTGTTAACCATTTACATGTTGAAACAACATCCAAAAGGATTTCTTATACTCAAAACTTGTTGAAAACTCTTTTAAAGCTTTTATAAACTTCTTTTATAATAAATCATATTCGACTATCTATTTATGTATAAGTATGCTTTAATAAACTTAGGACTATTGCTAGATACCTTGACTCCTGTTCCTTGTTTGGTTGTGGACTTGGGGTAGTATCACTAGTCCGAATGTCGGTTAAATCATAGTTATAGTTATTAAATACATATATGAATATTAAACCCATTTTTAAGGATTATACTTAACTTAGTTGCTTGGTGAGTAATTGAGTCTTTTCTATACATCAGTAACAGTCAAACAATCATACTAGTAAACTATAATAGGTATAGTTTAGAGGATTGCTACTTACTATTTCTAGAACAATGAAACTTACATGAGTCAGTTCATACATGAGTCAGTTCAAACATACTATAACTAGAACAAGAAGGAACATACTATAACTAGAACAAGAAGGAACATACTATAACTAGAACA